AACTGGAATGGAGCTTTGCCCAAGTCTCAGAATGTGCCAGGCTTTGCATTCTCTGCGAGGAAGAGCTTCCCAGTTTATAAAGACTCTAGATGTTTTGCTTGTGAGTCTCTTGGCTGAATAAAATGACGGCCCATAAAGGGTCAACACATGCTGAAGCGTGGAGAATGTTCTTGCGCATCCCCAACTGGAAATCTTCTAGCCTTCCTTGGGCAGTTCACCTTCCTGTTTGCAGGGGTGCAAGTTCACTTGGCTCGTGCTGCAATGAGCAACTAACAACATCAAGGCCCGAAGGACGTTCCCTCCAGTTGCCAAATTAGTTGGATGGATCTGGCCACCTCCACGTCTTCTAGGTCCCCCAGCTAGGTGCCCTTTTACCCGTTTTTTGGGAGGATTCCCCTACTAAAATAGACAAAACTGAAAACAGTGGGTACCAACTACCAACTTCTAAGCTCTCAAACCCAGGAGAAACGTTGGAAGCCGAAAACCAGGGACCAGAAGCTGAACCCCCCCCAAAAAAAAACCTGCCCAACAGTCTCAGAGTCTTGCATCCAAAGCCGCAGCTTTCAGGCTCGGCACGCCGCAGCGCGACGAGAGCTGCAGGAGTTGATCCAGATGCTGCCAAAGGCGGCGGCGGTGTGCCAATTCCTCCCTCTAAAGTGGGGCTTTTGCCCCAAGAATTGACCAAGGGTCCATCACTGCTTGGTTTCCTGGTAGCACGGAGCAAATTCGTTGAACACATGCATGGCTTGGTTCCGACAAACATGTCAAGTTTCAATTATGCACTAGGCGTTGTGAACCTCTCGGCGACTCCAGTGCATTGAGTGCGAAAGCAGTACCGTGCCTTAGTCTGTCATTGCGTGTTTTCCCCTCGGGATGGTTCGAGTGCTCAGCCGAAAAGCAAACAGGAGTCTTGCATTTTGTCCATTTTGGGACACACCGGTAATGACAGTGGCTATGGAAGTGTTTTGGGTACCCCTTGCTTTAAAGGCAGACCGCCAGCAACATCACCCACTTTTATGGTCCTATGACATACCCTCGTGGATATGGCAAACAAGTCCAAACCCTTCCCACTATCGGGTGAGGGGTCCAGTCTCCCGAACATCATGGGAGATAACATGCAATGTGGAGGCTGTTAGCTGGTTCAGCGGGCAAAGCAAGCGAAGCACCTTGCTCGAACCCATACACATGAGTTCGGCTTTGTTTCCCAATATCGGCACCCTCACAAAGCCAGGTGTCTGTTTTGTTTCCCTTCAAGCCGAAAGCCAACAAACAAACAGGATACACAAATTCACATTTGAGACAGCTTAATTTTCAGAGTGACAGCGCACCAGTTCTTGGCGCTTCACCATTCCGCTGTTTTCTTTGCATAGCCTGCTGACCTGACCTGACCAACTCCAGCTGGGATGAAAGACATGGCTCATGTTTCCTTTTGGCAAGGCGGTTCGAAGTCGGACGGAAGGACGGATGGCCAAGAATGCCTGGCCTTCTTGGGTGTGTCTTTGAGAACGGTGACTGGGGCCGTGGTGGTTTTGCCCCAAAAAGAGTACCCACACCTGGGGTTGATCAAAAGGTCTGGTAGACATGGGCTGACCATTCCGGAAACCTTTCACCACATGGAACCAATTACCCATGGTCATTTGGGGCCAGGGTTATTGATCAACCCCCATTTTCATGTTCAACCAAGAGTGAATTTCCAGCGAGCCCAGTGAATCACAGAGAACCAGCAAGCCAATTGGCAGTCGGGGAGACCATGGCCAAATCTTCGGGGTGGGCCAAAAAAAATGCGGTTCCCAGAGTACTAGTACTGATCAATCACAAAAGAACAGGGCTCCTTAAAAGATACATTTTGCCCTTTTGAAACATGGCTTTTTTCACCAAAAGAAAGGGAAACCACCATTCACAAGGTAATGCTCAGGTGTATAATGTAAGGATCCTTGAAATATTGATTACTCTCACTTGGATGGGGGAAACCACCAAGAAAGATGAAGTTCACCACTAAATAACAAGACTTACCCATTTGGGGGCAAGTATTGATCAACTCCTTTGCACGTCCAGGCGTTTCATTAGCTCGACCTCCTGAGCGCGGCTCTTGCGGTGGATCCCACTGGAGGTTTCGGCTGGTTGGGATTGGCGGCTTGGATTCTTCGCTTACGAATCTGTTTCACTACTATATGATATATATGTTCATCTTTTCCTGGGAGCTTAAGCAAATGGAAGGACAAGGATTTTAGCTTCAGAAACTGGGGTTCAAATCCTCAAACCACGAAACAAGTAGTTGGGATTCCTGAAAATGTTTGCTCATGGAGGAAAACTTGCGCGCATATCATTTGTTCTTAGCTTCCCGGTTTGCTTAACGGTACCGTTCAGGTCTCCGAGAAAAACGAGATCACATTTAGGACAAACCATCAGAGCATGACGGAGCAGAGTTGGTGTCTCCTGAGAACGCCCTTTCATTTTTTGTTTAGACCATGTTGTCAAGCAAAATAGACGGACTGTTCAGCATGCAGAGCTGTGAGCAATTGTCAGCGGCATGGCCTCGATGTTAGAGATAAACTCGTTTCGCCTATCTGCCCAACAGTGGCTGTGCCTGCAAATGGTAAAGAAAGTACTGATGAGGTCGTCCTCCAGGACGTTCAGTCAGGTATGGCCATGGGTCAAAACCCAAAACATACCCCCAGTCAACATCCCAATCCCTACTAAAATAGACTAAACTGGGTGGTGCACCTATCCCAAAATGGTGCCATTGGTTTTGAACCATGGCCGTATGTTCTTCATCTGGGCAGACTCGATATGCTTCCCAAGGGCCAAGGGCAACTTGTTGCCACTGGTGCTTGATTCGTCGCCGCTGAAAGCTGGCAGACTTGCATTTGTAGTGGCTGGCATAACCAGCCTTTAGCAACACTTGGATTTTTCGACGGATTGATTTCCCGATGAATCCAGGAGCGGTCGATTGCCAATTGCTGTCCGACTACTTCCTCGCACATGTGTCACCACATAGTGCCGCAGATGTTCTTTTTGTGCCAAGCGCAGCCGCACAAGCCGTGGCATTCAGAGTTCGGTCAATCGCAAGGATTTGGGCGCGTGCTTTTTTGACAGGGCCCCTCTTCTTGTTGGTCTGCAAGGAAACGGATTCAAGCGGTAGAGGCCTTACCGGAAAACTGGCCAACTATTGAAAGCAATCCAAGTTGGTAAGGAATGAGATTCAAGCTTGGCACTTTATCAATTGTTTGACGAGCCGCTTGCTTTGCGTCACCAATCCTTTAGCTTTAGAGAACTCGCAAGGGTTGGAACCGAAACTCGAGGAAGAGTTCATCCGGTTTGCTTTCCGGTTTCAGCCTTCATTTTTGAGCAACACATGTACCGCCGAGTGAGAGGATGTCGTAATGGGGCCCAGGCAGCAGCCCGTCAGTTGGCTGGTGCGGTCTTTTTGCTGGTGCGGCCGCTGCATGTCACGGGGCACTGCACTGCCCAACAGGAACCCAAGAAATTGGAAGCAACCCCAGAAGCGCCGAAGAGATGTACCAAAAGGCGGAAGCATGCGGGCCACACCTGAGGTAATGATTCGGCGATGGGCCCACGGAGATTGGGGGGTGCTGTCTCAAAATGAGAATCCCGAAAAGGTCAGCTTTTTTGTTGGGTCGTGTTGAACCACCCCCGTGTTGTTTTTGTTCCTTCAAATTGCGGGTGTTTTGCGTGTTGTCTCCCAAAGCGGAAACCAGAAGGGCATTGGCAATTGTTTCATTTGTTTCTGACCCAGTCATTCTCCCACACAAACAAGCAACACGTTGGAGAACTACATGCATTCTCGTTGCGTGTGGGTTGGAACCACGCTTCCTAAGCAGGGATCCTACTTAGAATGACACAAATCTTACTGGGCACCGATGCGAAAAGTCTTTCGGGTACGGCAGCTTCTCGGGTTTCAATTTGGATGCGTTCCTTCGAGCACGCAAAAGCGCAAAAGCCGAAGGCGTGCCTGGTGCGCACAGACCCATTCTTCCCTGGGGCCTTGTCTTGTTTGGTTTGTTGGGGGCCCCCACGCCTTTTCGTGGGGCTTGAAGACTAGCCAACAGCACACAAGCCAAAATGGCGCATTTGGGAAACCCCCTCTAAAGAGAGAGGCTCTGTGTTCGCGCTTTTCGCGCGGCGCAGTCTGCAGTGGAACTCCACGCGGGCAGGACTTCTTGATTGCCATTGGGTTGGATCTTTAGACTTTAACTGTTTGGAAAATAAAGGTGGTTTCCGCTAAACCCCATTTTTTTTTTTGCAGGGGGGTCAACAGCAGCCAAGACTTGGAGCCAATTTGGGCAAAGCCGCTTGCTGGGTCTTGTTCGGGTTGTGCTTCTTGGCTCCCCTGCCGGGTCCGATGTTTAGAAAGCAGGCGTGCCATGTTTGGTTTGAGCAGGTGACATAATATGGGGCCCTGAATCGATATGAACTTCTTTGCAGCTGGGTTTCCTCAGATTTCTCGATGCGCAACATACCCGGAGCCTGGAGCTCTAGGCTTGGTTGGGCCTTGTACCGGAGAGACGACATCTGGTGGGTACCAGAGACCCCAAATAATGCAACTGTGAGTGTGAGCGCAAACCCCTTGTTGCTTGCAGATGTTGTGAGCAAGCGGCCTTTTGATTACTCGATTTGGCAGGCACCCGTTTCCCTTTGGTTTTCTTTTGGTGTGGTTGTGTTGTTTCCTGTTTCGTTTTGTCCCTGGCTTTTGCGCTTTTACCACAAGTGTCGATTCTCCCTCGTGCCTCTGACTGCCTTTGCATGGGCCTTTCTGTTCGAGGACTCTTCCTTTGGTTCATCCCGGCACCTTTCAGTCTGGCGCCCTTCCGCGAAATTCGAGCAACACAGCCAAAGCTTAATTGGGCTAGTGAAACTCCTTGTTGCCCTCAAAATTTAGAAGCCCGATTCGAAACGGGCGCCCAATCTGAAACAGGCGGTACCCAAAGGGTCAAGGGACCCCTCCCATGGTTTTCCTCTCTCGTTCCAGCAGCACTCAGGGCCGCTCCGAGACACGCGAGGCGAGGAGTGATTCGGAAGTCACTCATCAGGGGGCTTCCATTTGCTGAAATGAGCAATTATGTGTGTGTGTGTGTGTTTTCCCCTGTTGCTTTTCAAGGGACTCGATTTCAGTACTAAACTCTTTTTTCCAAGGGGGCTTAAGCAAATGGAAGGGGTGGTTGCGCTTGAAACGGGCATTCTCGTTTTCAGTTGGGGATATAGTTTTGGTTCACTATGTGAATCTGATGAGGAATCTCCCTAACAGTAGCGTCATGATTAAAAGGGAAGCGCGCCTGATTCGTATGGTCCTTTGGTTGTATCCGAAATTGGCATTGGGGGTTCTCAGTTGGCTAGGTGCGCTTGAACCCGTGCAGCAAAGGCTTTCTCTCAATACGGCTTTTTCAGACTCGCTGGGTACTCTACTCGTATGTCTTCACTGTTCTTGGCAAGCGTGTGCTTGTTTTTTTTTGTTTGGTTCTGTTCATTTTTGGTAGGGGGCTGCAAGAAGCGCAAAACCAATGGTTCTAGGGGTTGATTCCCCATGCTTTTCAACCATCGCTCTTTAAACGACCACCGGATCTGTTTCCCCTGGGTTTTTAGGATGGTTTCCCCAAAAGATTCGGATCCCTGGGTTAAGAATGGAAATGAAAGCTACCCCTATGGTGGTGAAGACGCATGGCCGAGGCCTCGCGCAGGAACAGCACCAGGTCTGTACCAGGTGGGCCCTTTTCGCGATGTTCGGGTTCTCATGTCGGGAACCAAAGGGGAGGGGTTCTTTTTTGGGGCCATTCAAAGTAACCCAAAGGGCAAGCCCTCAAAAACACTGACCGTTTTTTAAAGCAACGGGCCTTAAGATGGTTCTACTAGTTGTTTTTGTGGTGAGACTGATCATCGTGCGAGTGCTCGTGTGTCATAGCTGAGACATGTTTGTTTTGAAGAGTGTAATCACCATGATTGGTATTAATCAAAGCAACTTCTAAACCTTATGTCCGGGAGGCCATGTAGGTGGTAAACATCAGATCGCAATTCAGCTGGGCAATATGATGTTTTTTGTATGTGGTTGTTTGTTTTGATGTGTTTGGCCCATATTGCAGCAACACTTGATTGCTACAAAACTAGCATCTTGCTTGCTGTTTACGAGCTTGCGCGTGCTGTGGCGTATAGTCATTTTTTGTTGGACGCTGCAGTTTGCCAAGGACACACTAAGTCATTCCTGACAGTTGGCACTGAGCGCGGTCATGTTCACACCTAGCAGAAGTTGTTCGGATACATATATGTCATACAGCAACAAAATGATTGTGAAAATGACTGCATTGCAATTTGCCCGTATCCCAGCAGCAATAAACGGACACCCAAATATCCAGTTGCCAAGCTGTAAGCTTAGCATTGGCCTTCTCAATTTGCATCATGTAGTCGCACTTGCTACAGTCATCAAACGTCTTGGATGATAACCCCCTCCCCCCTCCCAAAAATAATGTTATGAATCATTACTACGCTCATGCTGTGTTTGGATTCAACTGACCATGATGGAGTTTCACACAAGTAGAACCTTACCCTTACCTCTTAAAAGCACAACTTTTCAACTTTTTGGGTAACATGGGCTATATGTCTGTAAAAGATCAACTTCCCCAGGGCTTGGAGTTTTAAGGGGTAATTAAGTACCTCTCAGTTCTTGCTAGCAGGAATCAGGAGACGGATTACTTGCCCGTTGCCGGGTTCCCCAATCAGTCTGGCAGGCTCGCTTTCTGGACGATCTGCCAGGGACTCAAAGGCACGCGTCAGTCAAGTTGCGAAGCACAAGACTGCGCTCGTGCTACACACCTCCAGCCGTCCAATTATATATATAATATATGTATATATATATATATATATTTAATTTGGAGTACTGCTTCCCATCTGCCGACCAGGGCCTGAAACAATAACTGTATCAGTATCTCTTGCACCTGAGTGACATGATCTCCGTATCTCGTCAACATGCCCTATTTTCATCTATTTTTTATCCTACACTGCATGTTTTTGGTGCCGGCGCCTGAACCGCCCCACGCGTTTTATAGGTTTTGCTGGTCAGCAGCTTTCTAGAGCCTCTTTGTTCTCAGGTTTCATTGGGTTGGAGTTTTCCCCGATGTTGGGAAGGACTTCCGTCTAACTGCGAGCGTGCAAGTAACGCTCAGTGTCATGCACATGAGAAGCGCATCCGCCCCGTCATGCACATGATAAACACGTCCGCCCGACTGCGTGCGCGCAGCAATGCTCATAGTCATGCACACGATAAGCACGTCCGCCCGACTGCGTGTGCGCAGCAATGCTCATAGTCATGCACAAGATAAGCACGTCCGCCCGACTGCGTGCGCGCAGCAATGCTCATAGTCATGCACAAGAGAAGCACGTCCGCCCGACTGCGTGCGCGCAGCAATGCTCATAGTCATGCACAAGATAAGCACGTCCGCCCGACTGCGTGCGCGCAGCAATGCTCATAGTCATGCACACGATAAGCACGTCCGCCCGACTGCGTGCGCGCAGCAATGCTCATAGTCATGCACAAGATAAGCACGTCCGCCCGACTGCGTGCGCGCAGCAAGCAATGCTCATAGTCATGCACAAGAGAAGCACGTCCGCCCGACTGCGTGCGCGCAGCAATGCTCATAGTCATGCACAAGATAAGCACGTCCGCCCGACGCGTGCGTGCGTCATGCACAAGATAAGCACGTCCGCCCGACTGCGTGCGCGCAGCAATGCTCATAGTCATGCACAAGCTAAGCACGTCCGCCCGACTGCGTGCGCGCAGCAATGCTCATAGTCATGCACAAGAGAAGAACGTCCGCCCGACTGAGTGCGCGCAGCAATGCTCATAGTCATGCACAAGATAAGCACGTCCGCCCGACTGCGTGCGCGCAGCAATGCTCATAGTCATGCACAAGACTGCGACGTCCGCACGTCGACTGCGTGCGCGCAGCAATGCTCATAGTCATGCACAGGATAAGCACGTCCGCCCGACTGCGTGCGCGCAGCAATGCTCATAGTCATGCACAAGAAAAGCACGTCCGCCCGACTACGTGCGCGCAGCAATGCTCATAGCCATGCACAAGATAAGCACGTCCGCCCGACTGCGTGCGCGCAGCAATGCTCATAGTCATGCACAAGATAAGCACGTCCGCCCGACTGCGTGCGCGCAGCAATGCTCATAGTCATGCACAAGATAAGCACGTCCGCCCGACTGCGTGCGCGCAGCAATGCTCATAGTCAAGCACAAGATAAGCACGTCCGCCCGACTGCGTGCGCGCAGCAATGCTCATAGTCATGCACAAGATAAGCACGTCCGCCCGACTGCGTGCGCGCCGCAATGCTCATAGTCATGCACAAGATAAGCACGTCCGCCCGACTGCGTGCGCGCAGCAATGCTCATAGTCATGCACAAGATAAGCACGTCCGCCCGACTGCGTGCGCGCAGCAATGCTCATAGTCATGCACAAGATAAGCACGTCCGCCCGACTGCGTGCGCGCAGCAATGCTCATAGTCATGCACAAGATAAGCACGTCCGCCCGACTGCGTGCGCGCAGCAATGCTCATAGTCATGCACAAGATAAGCACGTCCGCCCGACTGCGTGCGCGCAGCAATGCTCATAGTCATGCACAAGATAAGCACGTCCGCCCGACTGCGTGCGCGCAGCAATGCTCATAGTCATGCACAGATAAGCACGTCCGCCCGACTGCGTGCTCATAGTCATGCACAAGATAAGCACGTCCGCCCGACTGCGTGCGCGCAGCAATGCTCATAGTCATGCACAAGATAAGCACGTCCGCCGGACTGCGTGCGCGCAGCAATGCTCATAGTCATGCACAAGATAAAGTCGTCCGCCCGACTGCGTGCGCGTAGCAATGCTCATAGTCATGCGCAAGGTAGTTTCCTCCGCCCGACTGCGTGCGCGTAGCAATGCTCATAGTCATGCACATGATAAGCACATCCGCCCGACTGCGTGCGCGCAGCAATGCTGATTGTCATGCACATGATAAGCACATCCGCTCGACTGCGTCCGGGCAACGATGCTCATAGTAATTCACATGATAAGCACATCCGCCCGGCGTGCGCGCAGCAATGCTTAGACATGCACATGATAAGCACGTCCGCCCGACTGCGTGCGCGCAGCAATGCTCATAGTCATGCACAAGATAAGTTCGTCCGCCCGACTGCGTGCGCGTAGCAATGCTCATAGTCATGCACAAGATAAGTTTCTCCGCCCGACTGCGTGCGCGTAGCAATGCTCATAGTCATGCACATGATAAGCACATCCGCCCGACTGCGTGCGCGCAGCAATGCTCATTGTCATGCACATGATAAGCACATCCGCTCGACTGCGTGCGGGCAGCGATGCTCAGAGTCATGCACATGATAAGCACATCCGCCCGACTGCGTGCGCGCAGCAATGCTTAGTCATGCACATGATAAGCACGTCCGCCCCACTGCGTGCGCGCAGCAATGCTCATTGTCATGCACATGATAAGCACATCCGCTCGACTGCGTGCGGGCAGCGATGCTCATAGTCATGCACAAGACAAGTTCGTCCGCCCGACTGCGGGCAACGATGCTCATAGTCATGCACATTGTAAGCACATCCGCCCGACTGCGTGCGCGTAGCAATGCTCATAGTCATGCACATGATAAGCACATCCGCCCGACTGCGTGCGCGCAGCAATGCTCATTGTCATGCACATGATAAGCACATCCGCTCGACTGCGTGCGGGCAGCGATGCTCATAGTCATGCACATGATAAGCACATCCGCCCGACTGCGTGCGCGCAGCAATGCTCAGTCATGCACATGATAAGCACAGTCGCTCGACTGGCCCGTTTTTGATCGCCTCGGCGACTTGTGCAGAAAGGCGTAGCCAGTTTTTTAACTTCTGCGCGCAAGAAACCTTTCGGCTGGTGACAACAAAGGCGTCCGAAACCTTCACTTGCCGGGGAAGGAATAATTACAGTGATTTCGCCTTAGCGAAAGCACAAATCTCAAAAAAGGAGAACACCGTCGTGAGGTTTTCAGTACACTCATGTTGACGACTTGGGGCATCAGTTTGCGTTTCGCCGAGGCGAAATCATCATTGCTGAAAACGACGGTTCTCACATGACTGCGAAAACGCAGGGGGCGGTTCGGGCACCGGCACCATGTTTTTCTATATATCATCCTGGAGTCAGAACAGGTTTTGATTCGGGTTGCGGTTGATCATTGATTTTGCGTGGTTGTGTGTCTCGGACAAACTGGCGGTTCCCCTTCCTTTTCCCTTATAACGACACCCCAAAAGTGGCCTGTTCAACATTAATCCTTGATTATTTTGCCGCCGCAAAGTAGTGGTGTCCCGCTGCGGAACTGGGTTTAGGGTCCCCCCATGTTGAACAATCCAAAGAGGCTTTCCAGGTTTCCCAGACAGAATGCAAGCACGTGTCGCACCAAGGTCACCATTCCTAATGCGCCTGTGGACTGCGCGCTTTGCGGGCGAAAGGGGGCTGGTACGGCAGCCCAGAACGTTGCTTGTTCGGAGTTGGGTGTGTGGCCACTAGATAAATCTTACAATTGCCCCGAAGAATTTGTGCATTTTCCAGAGCCCCACACCCAGACCAGTGTCAGTTTGGTGGAGGCTTGATGCCTTGTCGAAGGCGTGGCTTTCAACGGAATGCCCCACAGACCCCCCATTTTGGGGACCCTATTTTTGGAAATCTTTGCGGGTTATGCGGCGTGTTTCTATGTTGATTACGAGTGCGAACAGTGGACACGTTTTGCTCTGCAAAGAAAACGCTGCACGGGGAGAGGGACAATGTGGGGCCCGAGATGTGGCAGGCAGGCCGAAATCCACATATCGCCACTTGACGCTTCGGATCCCACCTTGTTGGTATTCAGTTGAGTGCCGTGCATGCCGGCACTACGACGTCTTCAGCGCATCCAACAAGATTAGGCTGCTCACGTGAGTGAGCCGCGCAAGCGCGACAACCTGTGCACGAAGGGTACTGCAACTTCGTGACAAAGATGGAAGCGCTTTCAGAATCGTCTTCATGCCATGGGAGACATGATGTGTGTGTGTGTGTGTGTCTGCGTCAAACTGCGAGACACTTCTTCGGATGGTTCAAAAACACGGGTCAACCGATAAGTAGAGCAGGCCTCAACATCCTACGCGTAGCGGACACCAAAAGGAAAACCGCCGTGTTTTTAGGGGTACCCGTGTTTTAACGCATACTCATACGCATACTCATACGGATGCCCTGGTCAAATACAAGGGCATATTTCTCGCATTCGTCTCCAGGTCAAAACGGCACCTGCTTCTGCCATGAGTGCAGCCAACGCCGGTGTGCTCAGGGAAGAGTGGTGTTTTCTGGATGAAAGCTCCCCTTTGATTTCATCATGGGCTTGAACATGAATATATAGCCGTGTTCGAGTGGCTTGTTCATGTTGCCCCCAGTAAAAGAACGGGATTTGGCTTGGAATCAACGAAGTGATGCGCCAAAACCATGGGAATTGTGCGAATGTTGTCAGATCCCAGTCTCCACTTGCAAGGAAACGAAATCGCAGGTTTTGCAGCTTTTGGGGTTCGTTGGCAAATTGAACTCTGGGTGATCCGCCAACTTTGAGGCCCATGATTCTTCCGCATGAAGGTTTGCTTAAAAGTCGCCCGACAGTTGGCAAGAGTTTGCGGAAACCATGTAAAACGATAGGCCCCAAACAATCGCTAGTCCTCCCAGCATGTACATTTGTCGCAGGTGTGGCCCGGGGGAAACAACAAGCATCTGAACTGAATGATACCGCGTATGATACTCGAACGATACCCCCGCGATACCCCAAACAATATTCCTCGGTACCCTTGCCAATGAGCCCATGTGTCGCGGCAAGCCTGCTATTCTGCCGGCGCTGCCTGCTAGCTGCCAGCCTGCTAGCTGCCAGCGCAAGGCAAGCACAAAATGTTGCTCAACTTTGGCCCAGCCTAGCAAGAATTCTGCAACCCGCCCCGAGAGGATATAAACGCTGAACTACAAATTGGGGACATCACTCCTGGTTGAACATGCTTGTGGAGAGCTATTAGACTGGCTCTCATCAATCAACTTCATGGATGATAAACAATACGGATATGACATGGTACAACAATCCCCCAAGTCTTACATACATATTGAGAACGAAGGGTTATGACAACCCTTAGCAACCTTTCTTTTGAAACTCATGTTCGAACAACACATGTAGCTGTAAAGCAAGCTAAGTCATGTCTTGCCAGTCTGCCAGCAACTTGTCTTGCGTCCACGAGCTACATATACTTTGGGGTGAGAACTAGACAAGCTGCCTACGCATTGTGTTGTGCAAACTCGCTAGTCGCGCCTGGAAAGAACACCACCCACACAATTGAGAACGCATTGCTATGCAGGAGTTTCACCGAAAAAGAGAACCATCAGCTTTATTCACTAGAATGCGGCTTAAAGGAGCTGCAAGCCGACAACCAGCACGCATGCAGACATGCGAGCATGCACGCGACACATGGGCATGCGCTTTTGTAGGCGCACGTGCATGCATTTCCGGCAACAAACGGTTGTGATTGTCTCTATGCATTTGCAGATTGGTATCGTGAACTTAATCTCAACCAAATTCAGGCTTTCGCACAGCAACAACAGCTCCAAACAGGTGAGTCAAACGCAGGTTTGTGGTCATGGCAATTCAATCTGTCATGTTGGCTCGAACGTATCATTTGGCCCTCACACAACGTCAGATTTGCATGTGAGCGCCAAACTTTCTAATTAAGTGGCAGACAGAGTCATCAACTTCTCTGCACTTTCTCGTTAGCAACCTTCCAGAGAATGGAAACAAATTTGAATATTGAATTCCCCCCAAATGGTTATTGGGCATCCCCATGATGTTCAGAGGCTCCCTACCTAAATCCTTTGACTCAATGCGTCGGCCGAAAGGGTTGGCCACCTGAGCACTCGGAGTGTGCAATTGTTCTACCTGCACAAAGTTGAGGCGTGTGGTCGACAAGGTGTCATTTTTGATTTCTAAATGGATATGGCACCTCAAAGATTGTGGTTTCCCTTGTGCTTTCCCTTTAAGCCAAGGTGAAAAGAGCACCCGAAGAGTCCAGATGAGAGCCACAATCAAAACCCGGGTGGATGAAGGTTAGTAAGGGACGATCCCAACCATAAATAGCTGCGGCCGCCTTCTTAATCCTGTACATGGTTCTGGGTAGACCATTTTATTACCAGGTTTTGATTGCGACTCAGATGAAGTCTGTCTCAATTCCCTTACCTGCAACCCGAGCATGCGCTGAATTCGAGCCCAGGCATGAACCAGCTGGATGCCGGATCGCCCGCCGGGTTGCCTGAAGCGCTGAAGCGCTCGTTGAAGGGCGGCTCGGTGTCCTGTTTGGGGTGGGTTGGTTAGGGAAGCCAACGGGAAAGCCGAAGCCTCTGTGGATGGTGGCGAAATTCGTGCGCACCAGCTTGAAAGCATGGGAAATCATTGTTTGATGATATTCACATGGGAATCGAATCATTCCAGGGTTTCTTGGGTGGTGCGAAATGGATTTCGCCCATCGACAGTATGAAAGACACATTCCCAGTTCTTTGATTTTAGTAAACATGGGGTCTTAAAAACATGAGTTTGTGTAGCTCGGGCAAGACATCTTTGCGGGATGGCCGCAGCTTTTCAGACTTGAAGGCTTGAAGCCATGGAATAGCCAGAAGTATTGCTACTGACAGTTGCAGCTTCTTTCTTGAAATGGCTTTTGAAATCCATCCGCGCAGGGTCAGTAGCTCGGAGTCCGAACTCGGACATTCTCACACCTTCCCAAATGCTCAGAAAGTCAACCCGGACGGCCTGGCGGCTGGTTCCTGCGGCCTTCGAATCACCTCCATGATATCCAATTGCTATGACAGAATGTCCCTTGACACTGTGTGGCATATTATGGGGTTTGCCATTTTGGCACAGTTGCACAGAAACAGCAGCAATCGAAACACGAACCGCGTACTCCCGTTGAGGCCAACAGTCCAGGAGGCGCCAGCAGTGGGGCCCATGAGCCAGCGACGCCAGACGTTTGAGAGATCCCAGCATCACCCTGTTTGGGGCCATGGGTTTATATGGGTTCACACCTATTAGATGAGGGTGTGTGTTCGATTGAAGCCCGCAATATGCTGGCTTTGTTTTTTGTTCCCTTCAAAGTGACACGAAACATGGTAACCTTTAAAACAACAACCCCATATCACGTTGTTGTTGCTGGCCCGGGGACAAACACATCATGAGAGGAGAAAGCTGGCAAGAACTAAGAACAAAGGCGTTACTGGGAATTAGCATGTTCTGGGTTTTTCAAATCTGACAAAGTCTTACTGTAGTGGCTCCCAGCCATCCTCTTAGCTTTTCAGCCTTTTAGTGTTTAGTGTAGTTTCCATTTAGCCCACTAAAAGTGAGACTCACTTTTAGCGGGGGATCAGTCAACGGGCAGCCCAGAAGTTCTTTGTTGGGATTTGGTCCACGTGAATTGTTCGAAACAGGTCAGAGACCGGAGGCGTGAAAAACTGCCGGGCCAGGCAACCGCGATGAGGCGTGAGCGACGGAGTTTTGAGTTGAGCACTTCCGACAATTCAAGTGCAGCCCAAAAAGCAAAACGAGGGACCCGTAAAATGGCTGGCGTCCTTTTGGTTTTCCTTTAGACCAACTATACCAGGCACCCTGAAGAAAAAGACGCGCAGATGGGATTCCTTTGTGGCTTCCCTCTTATGGAGTGCTTTGTTTGACAGGTCCTACCCTGAAACCACGGTCTTTCACTTCCATTTGATTTGTTGCTTGTCATTGCCAGCAGCAATTGGATCTGGAATCTACCACAATTTGTTGAAGTCCCGTGCGAGACTTGCGAGAGTTATCCAAAGAAATGTTCTAATAACTGCAAACCTGTAAAGTTCGGCAAGCCGTGAATCCAATACACTAAGCAGCCACTGTAGTTCATGCGTGCCTGCTGAAGCTAGGTAGTTCGCTGATTGAGAAGTTAGCCAGCCCACTTCATTAATTTCTTAGGGTGGATCGACGAATCGGATGCTATCAACATGACACCCAGCAAGCACTCGCTCAGTGGCAGGGCTCCTGCGTGCTCTGCGGTCCGGGCGACTTAGAGTGATGTGTCAATGATCTCGCTTTTCTTCGTGTGAGAGCCTCGCACAAAACGCGTGTGTCTGTTTGTGTGGTAATGCGACATGGTTTGGCTTTGGGGATGGAGGTGCTGGTTGTTTGGGTGTCCCGTCAACGGTTGGTCTTGTGCAACAGCGCTGTTTGTGGGCCGCTTCAATTCCACAGCTTACGTGTCATGTATTGGCCCGGTCTGAGGCATGTGGTTTGGATGAAGATATTGATGCGACAAACCCCGCAGATTTCCAAACGACCTCAAAAGTAAATCCGATTAACTTGACATCGGGCGGGGGCCAATTTTAAGCATATTTTGACCAGCCCATCCAAAGCCAGCACCAGTCTCTGTCCGGTTGACGGCTTCGTGTGCCAAAAGTCCGAGGCCGCCGATTTTTTTGCGAGGACAAGTCCCAAAGCAGTGTGAGCCCTGTCGCATGTCAGAGCTGGTTCGTTGATCGGTAAGTATGGAATGAGGAGTTGCAACATTGCATGTGGCTTGCTTCTGTGCTTGATGTGGCATCGCCGTGCAGCTTATGAAGCTATTCATGTTTGTGTTGCTGTGGTCATTCTCCTTCAGACCGCCATGTGTGTGTAATCATTGCAATGTGCAATCCTTGCCTTGCATAGCCTCCGACGAAGGAAGCAACTCAACAGGTGTGAACTGGCTAGACCATGACTACGTGCTTACATGCGTACTTCATTCTGACGCTGCTTATATGGCGATACATACTTGCTGGCTATCATGAGTTGCCACCGCTGCCCTCCAAGGAGTGTCGAATCCAATATTTCCACTGATGTGTAGAGGAATCGCATGTGTAAGATCGTCTTATGGAGTGTCTTGATGTTCCGTCCAAACCCAAGCCTTCCAACTCTTGAACACCAGATCTAGTGCGCATATTCGAGTCATCGATCCCGGTTGAAGATGCGGACTTTGTTCACCTGCGCGTGACTGAGTGTTGCAGCTTCCGTGTTGCTACTGATAAGTAGGCGTACTTGGGCAAGTGTTCCCACATGTTGACCTGGACATGGGGTATTTGGCGCAACATATGTACTCACCGCCTCGCAAAGCAGCTGGACTGCTCTTGTTGTGATTGCTTTTGTTAAGGATACTCTTGTGACTGCGGGTGTCATTATCGATGTCGCCGACGTCGCTGTGAGCGTCACCAACAATTGTTTGTACTCTCGTGTCTTGTTCATGTGTGTGTGTGTGTTTATGACGCGCTGTTGCAATGTTCCTTGCTTGTTGGCGTGTTTGTTGTTTGGTTGCTGGTTCGGGTCCGCATTTGGTGGACCCGCGAAGAATCAACTTGCAACAAGGGACCTGAAAAGAGGAGGGTGTGTCTTTTGGCTAGGCGGGTTAATTAAAGCTGCCTTTCAGTCACAAGCTGGGTTGTCTATAATATATGTTGTTTCTTCTGCGTGTGCTGCTTGCCTGTTTATGTGTGTGTGTGTTCTTGTCTGCTTGCGTGCTTGCTTGTGATTTAGTTTGATTTCAGTGGTTGATTGATTTATTGGTTGGTTGGTTGGTCGGTTGGTTGGTTGATTGTTGATTGGTTGCTTGATTGAGGGGTTGACTGATTTGATTGATTGATTGATTGATTGATTGCTTGCTTGCTTGCTTGGTTGGTTGGTTGGTTGGTTGGTTGGTTGGTTGGTTGGTTGGTTGGTTGATTTACTTATTTATTTATTTATTTGGTTGGGTGGTTGGTGGGTTGGTTGGTTGGTTGATTTGATTGATTGATTGATTGATTGATTGATTGATTGATTGATTGATTGATTGATTGATTGATTGATTGATTGATTGATTGATTGGATTTGATTTGATTTGATTTGATTTGATTTGATTTTGATTTGATTTGATTGATTTGATTTGATTGATTGATTGATTGATTGATTGATTGATTGATTGATTGATTGATTGATTGATTGATTGATTGATTGATTGATTGATTTGATTCATTTGATTTGATTTGATTTGATTGATTTGATTTGATTGATTTGATTTGATTTGATTTGATTGGTTGGTTGGTTGGTTGATTGATTGATTGATTGATTGATTGATTGATTTGATTGGTTGGTTGGTTGGTTGGTTGCTTGCTTGGTTGGTTGGTTGGTCGGTCGGTCGGTGGGTTGGTTGGTTGATTGATTGATTGATTGATTGATTGATTGATGGATTTGGTTGAGTTGACTAAGTTGGTTAACTTGATTAGCTTGATTCATTTGAGCCATTTCGGTATGGGTTGGATGGTTGGATTGGCTTGGATTGGTAGGGTTGAGTTGAACTGACTGATTGGATGTATTGACTGATTGACTGTCGGTGGTGAAGGCGGTGGTGGTGGTGGTGGGGATGGTGGTGGGGACGGCGGTGTCGGTGGCGGTGGCGGTGCTATGCTTGTCATTTATTTATTGCTGCTTCTCCGATTGTCTAATTTTCGACCTGAATGTGATGTGTTTGCTGCTGTTTGGCGTGGGCATCACGCCTACGGACCCCCCGGTGCGCTGCCGACAGCCCTTGCAGCCACGGTCGTGTAGCTTGAAACTGCTGCAATCTTAGTCATTATGGCAGCATTGCAAAGCTGCGCAATCGCAACGGGGAAGTGTCTCGTAGCATTTGCAACCATCAGGTTCACCGTAAGTTGCCTGTGCAACACGCCCTTATGTGTTGGGATGATGGATTGAGACATACGGGTGCGTCTGTTTTTGGTGGTACTCCTTTTTTGGTGGTTTAAAGGCACGCCAAATAAAACGGAAAACCGAAGCCATTTTGGGGGATCCCTAAAATCAAGGCACACCCTACGGCAGCAGGAGAACGCCTTTGAGAAATCCGCCCGCAAGATGCTCCCGTTGGCAGGTACTCTGTCCCGCCTGCCTTTCTGGGCGCTAAGGCTCGAGCGGACTGTTGCAAGCCTGCCTACAATCATCTCATTAGACAATTGTGTGGGGCACTGCCCAAGGACGGAGCTAAGAGGCCCTCGACATGTCCACTGTGTGTGAGTCTGAAGTCTTATTTGAGACCGATGTGCTGTATACCAGCGACACAGTGTGACTTGTTTCAACCATTTGCACCTCGACACAGTCGCTATGGCATGTCAGTCTGAGAGATGCTTGCAGAAGGCACGTTCGTGGTTGTAGCTTTTCAGCTTGGGCGGTTGATTCAAAAACCAGTGTCAAAGCAAAGCATAGGATTACACAAGGCCGCTGCAAGTTGATGCTTCTCAAGAGCACAGTTCGCCACCAAAACCTCACGAACGACGTCAAGGACCAGCAAAACCACCAGGTCTGTTTGTGGAAGGCAGGCAGAATCTTCGCTGAAGGCCTCAAGAAGCAAACTTTGCTCCTCTCCAACAGGGCGGTAAAAAAAAGCTGGGTAATTCTCAACAGCGGAGACGCTGTGGGGTGTGCAATCTGGCCACAGCGGGTGGGTTGCGCGCTGAGGTTACGAAAACACTGCACATTAAAAAGGGTTTTGGGCCTGGCCATTGGTATTGCTATTGTTAAGCGTACAGCTTGCGTCAATCCTTACTTCTGCTAAATCAACTCAGGCACAACGACACCTACGTAGGGCATTGCCACCGATGAGCATGTAGCTGACACTAAGCAGGAACACAGCGACGCATTTATCAGTTTCGCAACGGGGCTGCTTATTTCCGACTACCTTTTGGGAAAAAGCAAAGGCATGCCAAACTTGTCCAGGTCCAGGTGTTGGGCCAAGGTGAGTTTCCTTTTGTCAGGGACATATTCTTGTTTGAGGCCTGTCAGGCTGGAGAGGAAGCAGGGGGCAAGGTTTAACTCGCGTGTTTTTGTTCAGCGGGCAGGTCCTTTTTGCTGGTGGCTTGGGGATTCTTCAACTCGCTTTGATTGGACTTGGACATGTTTTTGCCGGTGTTCACATGGCCACCTTGGCCTTGAATGGCCATCTTGAGAGCCTGTGCCTGCCAAAAGTGCCGAGTTTTTCGGCAAAGTTGGCTGCTCCAACCTGGGGCTGGAGTTGGATTTCTTGAGCTGTCTCGGTGCATTTGATCTTTCCAGACTGAGAGGTGCCGCCCTGCCGGGAGCCGAGACAATTGAGCTCGGCCACTTTGGGTGACTCCAAATTCGTTTGAATCAATCCCATGCCCATGCAAATTCGATGTATGCAGTCCCCATCCAAGAAAAAAGTCCCATAGCGACCTCACCGCAAAAAAACGGTTTGCCACCGAAGAGCCCTGATTGTTCCGTGAGAGGGGAGTCCCCTTTTTTTCAGCTTGGTGAAAAATATGGTCACCCAGAAACATGAACCAATCGAAGGTTCTGTCATTGTACCATATGCACAGATCGTTCCAACTCATGATCGCCCACTGTCAGGTGGCTTTTTGATCGTGTCACAACATGTTGCCAGGGAGCTAACTGTAGGACTGTAGGGCCTCCGAACTATCACCCAGCCCAAAGAGTCTTGGTATTGGCTTGCCGCCCAACCCAGCCGTAGCAGTGAGTCCTTGAGGCTGTCAAGTTCAGTTCTTATATGGAAACAGATTGTTGCAAATAAACTGTATTTTCTCGTGTCTTTAGGGTTCTATTTTGAATTCATTTGCACAGTAAGCAAGGACTTTCTGAAAATCTGTGCAAACTTGAAAAAAAGAACAAATGAGCCAAAATGGGACGTTCCGAATTCGTGTGTGGACGTGGCCAAGGTGCATGCCCAGAAAATGTAACGATGCTCGTGCTGCGCTTAGCTCCAGGAGTCAGCAACCCTGGCCTAGGCCATGTATGGGGGCGAGGCGAGCTGTCAAGTAGGTTCATGGCACTGGGTAGAAGGGCATCCAATATCTGTGTCGCAAGACTGGGAATGATCCTACTGTTCCTGGGCTGTCAAGCGAAGTTGTTCACTTACCCTCCCACCAACTAACATGGAAGTGCAAAAAGGCCCAAGAGGAAAGTAGTCCTTTTACAGGGGTCTGTGCACAAACCCATGGAATCGCTGGTGGGAGGGTACCCCCCTCAAAGACAAAAACAAGAAAAAAGGAAAAAGAACAGACGTACTCATATCTGGGTCTTCCATTTGGGTCACTTCTTGGCTCTGGGCATTTTCAGTATTTCTCTGTACACCCTGCAGGCTTTGTGGAACTACATTCCACCGCTGAGGCTCCACATGGACGCGTGCAGCAAATGCTTGAGGCCGACGCACCAACCGCGCGTGCGACAAAAGGCGTGGCCAGTTGCCTTCGTTGCGCTTGCTGTGGGTATGGGTCAAAAATTCGCCACCAGGAAATGGACCGCAGGTTTTAGTCCATGTGTCCACCAGGGCAACCCATTTGGGGCTTACCCTATTTTTGACAACCACAGCCAGATGGAGTGCCCTCTACAGACGCAGATGCTGAAAGGATCTTGCTTGCTTGGCTGGTTAGCCAAGAACCGGCATCTCAAACCTTTGCTAGGTCCCCCAGCTAGGCGCCCTTTCTCTTCCCTTTTTTGGTTGGGAGGGTTCCCATACTACAATAGACTACAGAAAAAAGTTGGTACCCTTATTCTAGCCTCTCTACTGGAGGACCTAGTTTGAGTGTACGTACCTTTTTGGGGTTGCGAAACCAAGGGGACACCACCAGACATGGGCGTTGTTTGGCGCGTTACCAGTTGCTGCCCCAGTGAGCGAGTACTGAGAATTGTGATACTACTTTGCATCTTGAACAATGTTTAGATAATCGTGTTGAAGCGATTCCTGCGAGGAGTATCGCTAAGAACCTTGAGGCAAAGCGCAAGTGTGGTTCAGTGTGAAATCCTAGCTGTGCTTGGTATGTGAGGGTTCGGTGGTTCACTGTTCCATCCATGTTGGCCGCTGATATGCAGCTCTCTCACTATGGTGATGTCGTTGAATACAGTGCCATGCTATCATGTACCGTAAATGGTTGTCATGACAAGATACTGCATGGCGTGATGCGAAGTGATGTGTGATGCTCTGTTGCGCGTGAGAGCACGCTGAAATGCTGTGTAGCGTGTTGTAACATAGTGCAAGTGTTGTCTGGATTTAGGGGCCCAATGGCTAGACATTGAGTGTGAGTCCGGCACGTTGCTCTTCATTGGCAAATTTCAGAGGTTGGCGGGTCTTGGTTAATCACATCTTGGCGGTTGAACATGCAAGCAAGAGTAGCTGAACACACCGAGATCACCGCTGCTTTCACCAGTATGGTACTGGCTTGGCCAAGCAAAGTTTGTTGATCGTGCCCCGAAGCAATCGCTCAATTGCCAAAATAGTGGGTCCCTACCATGGTTGCTTTCCTTTGGTTTCCCTTTCAATACCAGCCGAAAGGGTCTACCATTTTGAGACAACCCCCACGTGAGGTGTCATGCCATGGCATTCCACCGGATTTAGCCATTTGATTTGAAGGGTTTGGCGGCATCCTTTGTGGCAAATGGCCGCATCAAGCTCGTGAGAAGGAGATTCCGAGATGTGCATGAATCGACCTGACATCCTTCCTGCAGCTGTGTTCAGCAGCGAGTCAACCATGGGAGCGGGCAAGTATTTCGCGGCCATTGCCTCGGGTGAGAAAAAAGCCCATGGAGTCTACCTGCCAAATTCAAAGTCCAGTGACTTGGTTCTGGGTTCCTTTCCTAGGTCCCTCAGCTTGGCGCCCTTTCTCACCCTTTTTTGGTGAAGACGCTTCCCCTACTAAGATAGACGTCCCGAAAAGAGTTGGTACCAACTTCATTCCTCTCTGTCCTTTGCACGAGCTTTTCCGTTTGCTGGACTCCGCACCCCCCAGGCAAAATCCACCCTGCGAAGAGCATCGCCGGGTTTTGCGGTGGAAGTCGTTCTGCTTGCATGCGGCTTGATCTTCGAGAGGATTGGCTTGAGCAAAGGGGTTATAATGGAAAGTGTTTTTCCATGATTTCTGAATCACTGGCAGTGACTCCACAGGGAATCGCTTGGAGACAGTTCTGAGCACGAGACCAGCTTTCCAAATTTAATTGCTTGCCGAGGAGCGCTAGGTTGCGTTCAGTCTTATTAGAGCAGATTGATTTTCTCAACCGACACTTGGACTGCAACACCAAACCGTTCAGATCCCTCAGAAACGTTGAATTTGACCGCTACGTGAGTTCACACGTGATCAACTGTATCACCTCGAAAATTGCTTAAGCAGCCTTTGAAAAGCCCCACCATCACTGTCCATTGTCGACTGCCATGATCTTTGTGTTTAACCATAACCCTTACCTGAGTGGAACTCAGGGGTACTTCATATACCCCAAGATCAGAACTCTTGAGTTCCTGAGCTCAAGCAGCCCTTGTCCAGCCGAGAGATCCCCAAAACAACCTTTCAGAGTCATACCACATCGATGTCCGGCCACTTGTTCCAGGCCTCATGAGCAGATCTCTTAGAACCACCACTCCCAGGCCATGCGAACAGCTGGTTTCCCTTTGGTTTCCCGATGAGCCAGGGCCACGGGAATGGCCCATGCTCATCAGAACTATCCAGTGGACCATGAGACAAACCTCGCAAGCAAGCTGGAAGCACCCACATGTGTGTGTGTGTGTGTTGTTTTCTTTTTGGGTGGGTACCCCATCTTGGTTGGTCTTTAAGGAAAGCCAAGAAGGAACACACTGCGTTTATCCCGGAGAAACGATATGCCCCATATTTGTGCAGTACGGTATTTGCCACGAGTGTCCAGGCCTTGAAATAAGCCCAAATTTAATCCGCGTGGGTTTTGGTGGCAATTAACATCGAACCTGACAGGGAGGTCCTGGAAGGTCATGTTCCTTGTAAAGGGACCCCCTGTCAGGTGCAATCTTAATTGGTGGGAGGGTATGCTGAATCTTGTTTGGAACCCTTTGTTGTTTGGTCATACGCGAAGGTTTTGGCATTTGTCCCCGAATCTATCTTCCTGAGTTGCTCGACTTCTCGGTATCCTTGTGGGAAGACCATTCTAGTGGCAAGAAAAGGTGGGGCTGTGTTTTCCACCCAGCCACTCAGAAAGTGAGGAGAGATCACTGACCAGTGGCGCGAATTTGATGACCTGTTTGTTGTTTATTTCAGGCGATGTGTGTGTGTGGCGTATGTTTGTTTGCAGATTCTTGGAGCTGATTAAGTTTTGCAAAATGCCGCGAACCAGCCTGCCAGTGGAAAGCCAATGTTTGCAACTGCAAGCTTTCCTGCTTGTGGGCATTGACTTGTGTGTGTTCTATGGATTGCCTGCCATGTGGTTGTTTGGGATCACCAAGTAAGCCGAACTATCCGAAACTCCGCATTCACAGAAGACACCCTTTCTGGGGAATGCCCTCTTTGGTTTGGCGAATATCCTCCATTTGAGTCGTCATTGTTTTTTACGAGTGGCTACAGCGCCATGCTCGGCTTTATAGTGGGAGTGCAAATGCAAATTCTTTCGTAGTTATCTAAGCGGGTGCCTGGAGTCACTGAGGCGGATGCTGTGCTGCAGCCGCACAGTTTGTGCAATACTGATTCTCCATGTACAAGGCAGGGTGTGTCGCACAGAAAAAAAACATAGCTCAGGTCAATCAACTTGGTCCCCTGCCATCCCCTCGGGTTTTTAGGCTTTTAGCTTTTAACGGTAGTTCCCACTAAGCCACGAAAAGTTAGACCTTTGGCAAAAGATCCGGGAACAGGCCGGTCAAGATCAACACTGTGAGATTAAGGAGAGGCCACACACTTTCCTGGGCAATCTTGGATTTGATGGCCAGACAGGTGAAATTCACCACCTAAGAAACACTTGGATAATTCGATTCCCAGGTAAATACCAACAAAAGCAATGGTTTCAGCCATTGTTTCAAAGCGGTGCGAACGGATTTTGTCCACAGGAGGCGATTTCTCGGCCATTTGTTTTTTTTGGAGCCTTCCCTGAGTTTCTGGACTTGATCCTGGACTTGTTTTGGCCATCGGAGCGCGAGAGCAGCCGTCGGATGAACTCTTCATCAAAACTCTGCAGACGTAAGATCGAGTCGCCAAACCACAAAATGGACGTGAGCCAAGCACCTCAATGTGTAGAGTTTCAATTGGACACTTGAGTTAGTTGTTGGTCGGATCGCTAGTTGTTTTTTGGCTCGTATCAGTTTGCTGTGCATTAAGTGTTTCTGGGGGAGCATACCCTCAAGCAGATGTTCCTGTGCGTTTGCTGGCAAGTTGCTTTTGCCCAGCTTCTACCTATCTAAGACTCACCCGTTCAGTGCAGGGCCGTTTGTGGGTTGTTGCCTGTCTCATGATTGCAGTGGCGTCTAGCAAGGAAACTGGCCTTAACGTGATTCCCATATTCAAGAGGCCGGCCATGATGAATACTCAGTACACAAAACGCACTGACATGCTTGTGTTGGACGTTTGGAATTCTGTCGCCGTTTTGAACTCCCGCGTTCATGAAGTGGAAAAAGCATTGCAATCCCATCATGAAACGGCAATGTGCACACCAAGAAAAAGGCGGGTGCTGATTTGTTTGCCAAGATGTTGCATGTGGGTGAACATGTCAGTCTAGAGAGCGCAGGTACCTCCGGATGTAGTGAGGGAAGCGGGGTACTTGGAGCTTTTGACATGTTCTGTGCGAGTGTGCTCACAAAGAACATCGATACGTAGAATGGTGGCCATTCCAGTAGATTGCGATAGCTGAGGTTGTATGAGACAAACCCTTTGCTTTTTGTTTCTATTGGATGCATCCCGGATGCCTCCAATTAAATAGTCTGAAGCAATGATGAATCTAACAGAAACAACACACGCGGAAACATGAGTTGCCCAATCACTTTACGTTGGATAAAACCAAGGACGCCTCTACAGAGGCCTGCCGGTCAACTGTATTTTATGGAAGAGTTGGACAGCGAAATCCCGGAAAGACTGGACCTTGAGCATTGATACAAGTGCTGCTTGTTTCTTGAAGTTCGCCCCGCTGCCATTCACCACCGAAAACGTAAGATTGCACGAATTTCACACAACAATAAAAGCACGGCTTTAGACAAATTGATTGAAACGCGACCCCAATGCCTTGACCGCAGGTATCCGAGAAGATGTGCATCTGGAAGTTGTAGATGCGCTGCTCGGCATGAGATGCGCCTTGCAAAGGGAGCAGAATATCCGGCAAGATAGGTGAGCAAGCGTGACACCTGCATCCAGAGAATGGTGCTCTCATGGTCTCCACTGTGGTTGATATGATACTTGCCAAGCCATGGCTGTGCGGTTCCCAATTGCCATGCGTATGACATGAGAACAATGTTGCAGGCTGCATCGCAGAACTTGAGGCATTCGTGGCAGTGTGTCCCGCGTGTGTCCTGCTTGCCATTAAAGCGGTTTGGGCGAGCCACAGTCACAGAACAAGCTTCAATTGCGCAGCAACATGCCTGTCAAGTGTGGATGAAAAAGGTTTGCTGACACACCATGCACCTTTCCGATTCATCAATCCCGGTGTGTGCTGTACGTTGCACTCGTTGGTGGCTCAGGCGGCAGCTGAATGAATACTTCCTACAATTACTACACGCGGTTCACTCCAACAAGCCTGCAACACCCTCCTCCACGGGATGGTGGGTACATGAATCCGAACGTTTGATGAAGTTTAGAGGGTTCCCAATTGAGATTACCGCACCTTTAGGTGTTGCGACGTGATTTGTTTTACTCCCGCAACTGCTTATGAAGCGGACTCTCCCCTTCTTCCCATGCTTTTGCTGTGTGCGGACCGTCCGACAGACTTGCTCTTGATTTCGAGTGTGTGGTGATATTTTGCTCGAATCTCTGAGCATTGGTGTTGTTCGGTTGATCGAGCGAGAAGCGCTCGCCAGACGAAAGCAAGAGAGCCCCATGAACAGATAGTTGTTGGGGTGTGTGTTTCTGTCTTGAAGCCCTATGATTGCAGTTGCATGCAGTGCTTGGTGCCCTGTGATGTGAGATTTCATAGTCACAGAAGATGTTCTACGCCATTCTTGAAATCATCCATCATCATCCATCACATAATATTGAACAAATTCGGAGTATGATGCTCTGCAGGCACACATGCAGGATCTCCGCAAGCGTGAGCCTGTTTGAGCGGGGCAAGCTGCAATCGATTTGTAACGATCCTTGGACCGGCTGGGTTTGATCTTGTTATTTTTCGTCACATTCAAATTGCTGCTTTTCAATGCGAGTTCGACCGGGAGTACTATGTGCTAATGGGATTGTTACCTTAAGATGCTTGGACCTCCCACATTGAAACGTTGGATATACATCACCTATGTGTGTGATTATGATTTCCAACCGGGAATGGTCAGCTCAACAACCGCACTTGGAACACAGTGTGCTTGCCAGAAGGTGCGTGCTGTGTGCGGAAATGTGCATGTATGCAGGCATTTCCGTTTAGCCACTGCTCTCTCACGCTTCTGGACAAACTTGCCCCGAACTCTGGGGCTAAATAACGCAGGTAAAGGGTTGGTCCAAAAGGTTTCATTTCTGATTTCCAGCTTGAGAATCAGACCCCGACTTTACCTCAGACCCCCAAATTCATTTCCATTTGCCCCAGACCCTCCCCCCCCCCCCAACAAAAAAATTGCCATCAAGCTGCGCGAGGGTTTCTGCCCCCCTACAGCAGAAACGACTTCTGACGATTCACCTTGAGGCCAGCGCTTCAGCCGCGCAAGGCGATCGGAATGAGCTCGGAATGCTTTCTGCCTAGTGGCGAGCCCTCCGATTCGGGGGCAAAATGAGACCATGATAATTCAGCTTTTGGAAGTATCGTAAAAACAAAAAAGAAAAACGTACCAGCTTGCCGATGAGGGCGGCCGGGAATGTCCGGAGAATGGCACCAAACCAGTTGCCCAGTTTTCGCAGCTGCATGACACGAATCTCGGTGCCTCCTCGCAAGTCCAAGATCGAACGAGTCGACTTGGATCCCTCTAAGAGTCATGTTGACAATTGGACATGAGAAGGGTTCCCACTGTTTGACACACATCCAGTAGAGTAGTTTTACAAATTAAAGAGCCGCATGGCTTTACAGTGGCATCTTTAAGAAACCGCGCCTGAAGGAATTTGGAATCGGTGCATATGAGCTCCAAGTGGTACAAAGCATGGCCTTCTCATTTGGGTGTTTCGCCAAATAGGAATCAGGCCCCTGGAACGGTAGGTTTCCTTTTGGTTTCCGATTTACTAACCAAAAGAGAAACTCTCATTTGGGTGTGTCTTTTAGCTGTTGTTGTCCGTTTTTGGTTTTCCGTTAACACCACAAAAAAGGGCGCACCCTCAATGAATACAGACCCATTTTGACCCACACCCAGTAGGATGCAGCTGGGTTTATCAACGCTTTGTTGCCAGGCGCAGCATAAAGAGCCAGGCAGGAACTGGTAGCCCGTTTTGCGGTCAATAGTTCAGATTGACAATCCGGGTGTGTCTTTGGTCAGGGACCCGTTTTTGTGGTGGCTATACAGGGAAACCAAACGGACAACCGCAGCTTATTATTTTTCCTTGGGGCGGGTCCCTAAAACAAGACACACCTACGTGGCCATGGGTCAAAACCCCGTACCCCCTGTGAACATCCCAATCCCCACTAAAGTAGGTTCTAAAATGGGTGGTGCACCCCAAAATGGGATCCCAAAACGGTTTTGAACCATGGCCACATGGGTGTTTCCAATCACTCGTGTTAGTGTTTTATTGATCGGCACTTTGCATGAGAGGAATCCATGGCCGGTGGCATCAGCTCGCTGTACCCTTTCTGATGGCACTGCCGATGGGATATTATTTCCTAGGTCCCCCAGCTAGGCGCCCTGTCTCATCCCTTTTTTGGTTGGGAGGGTTCCCCCACTAAAATCGACCACAGAAAAAGGGTACCCTTATTCTAACCTCTCTACTGGAGGACCTAGTTTCAGTGGCGGTGGTAGGACCAGAAACAAATCGATTTCAACCCGGAATTTACCGAGGGTGTTCCCCCAAAACATCAAACGATTCCCCCAGTTGGTGCACGAGCTGATGAATTGTTGGGTGCCTTTTTTTGCCCGGCGCGGTCAGAAACCTTGCATTTGCATGCGGCAAGGGGTTCAATGGGCATTGCCCAGGCCAACTGCAAGAATTGTTCGGCGAATGCATTGTCCATGAAGCAAGTGCTGACACTTGCACGTGATGAATTGAAAGTTGAGCGAACTTTTTTTGAAGGGAGCATTAATTGATCTTGGCTGCAGCGCAGCGCGTGCAATGGCTATTTTCAGCACCGCCGTGTGCTGCACGCCGGTGCATGTGTTGGGCAGTGTGTTCGAGACACACAAAATTTCGACCCGCTCGAGGGAGGGGCGGCGGCTTGTTGAAGCATGTGGGTGGTTTCATGAAGATTGTTGTGCTCCAGAAGGGCAAGGCCGGTTTGAATCAAGTTGTTTTTTCTTGAGTCATCCAAGGCAATTTCCGTTTCTTGAACCCCCTTCAAGCCCCAGATTGCGACTGACTCCCGAACAGAACACGTGTGGCTAGCTTCGCTTTGGCACGAAGCCGCCAAGGCCATGACCATGGCCACCATGGCCACCATGGCCACCATGGCCACCATGGGCACCATGGGCACCATGGGCACCATGGGCACCATGGGCACCATGGGCACCACGGCCACGGTGCTGCGCTCAGCACTCGGCCAGCCAAACCCGGCGGGGTTCAGCCCCACCTTTTCATCCAGGCAAAGAGTTGGGAAGTGCCGAAACCCCTTTGGAAGACAGCTGTCCTTACATGGAGGGTAGCTGGCATCGAATGACCAAATGTGCACTGCGCCAGACCATATGGATGCGGATTAGAAACGAATTGTCCACGCCATCAAGCGACAGAAAGACATGCTACGTTCATACTCAAGAAAGACTCCGGCCATGCAATCGAGGTGTGCTATGGTTCTACATGCTCCCCTCAGTGTTTGTGAAGATATGGAGACTATTTGCATGGTGCACCAAGACCATGCACTGAAGCCAGAGGCCTTCCATTGCTATGCCTGGCCATCTTTGTTTGCGTCGTGTTTGCACAGGTAAACGCACATTCAGTTCTCGTTGAAATGTTCCAAGCCCGCATCTGAGGCTTGGAAGCTACTCGAAAGAAGTTTCGCCAAAATTCATGAGGAATTTGGAATTGCCAGAATAAAAACTTAAGTTGGGAACTTAAGTTGGGAAGCTATTGGAATCTGGAATAACGATCTCAGATTCCCAGCAACAAAATGGAACTGCGAATTCAAGATTTGGTGTCACCCACCCCGAAACAGTCAGAGTCCAGGGAGCGAAAGCGGGCATTTGGCCTTGCTTGTTAACAAGGGAATCACTATATAAATGGAGAAACATAACACATGATGATTCGGGGGACTTGCAAAACAGGCAAAGGGTCAGACTTTCAGCCGAATTGGGCAAGCAAGGACAGCAGACCACGATCCGCTCTTTGGTCAACTTCATTCTACAGGGGCCCTCAAAGTTAGATTGGCCAACCTACCACGAGTCATTCTTAGATGGAGAACCCCAGAAATGGCTGGATATTGGTTTTGATTTTGCCGTGTTTCACAAGTCAAGAGAATTCATGGCGGTGGACATATCTCTCCGCTATCAAGCCTCCCAGGACAATCCGGAGCCCAAAATGGGGGGGAATTCACAACTCGGTTGGTTTCTCAGTTGGCCTTTTCAACCCGCCAACCGTTGGGTGAAAGTAGATGGCAGCATTTTTGGTAGAATCCCCCAAATGCAGGGAATCGTGCCATCTACTTTCACCCTTTCGCGAAAGAAAGGCACACCGGACCGGTCATTATTTTGACAGCTGGGGGGAATCAAAGTTAGAAAACAGGGTTGTTCCTCTTGAATCCGCCTCTGGGGGTGACTTTGATCATGGTATTTTGGACCCGTTGCCCGGACGCCCCGAGCTTCAGGCGAAGTCTCCGAAGGACCCGGCCAAAACATCGAGCTGCGGATTTCTATGGTGGATTTCCTTTCGTTTTCCCTTTAACTTCCAGGCCCAAAAAGTTGGTAGCCTCAAAAGACACACACATGTCGACTCCCAAGTCACTTTTGTGTCATAAGTCACCATCCAGGTGACCACTTTCGCGGATACGGGTCAGATTGCATCTTCTTTTTTTTCCCCTTTTTTTTTCTGGTGAGGGTGAACCATTCAGATACACACTTACACACTGCTGGTTCTTGTGGCCAAAGATAGTGCAGCTCTTAGTATACTGCCTGAGATATGGCTGTGGTTGTCAAAACTAATGGGATCCCATTTTGGTTGGTAGGTGAATTCACCACCCATTTGAGAACCGATTTTAGTGGGGATTGGGATGTTCACTCGGGGCACGATTTGGGTTTTGACCCATGGCCATATTTATGTGCTTTTGTTGTAGCTGGTGAAAGTGCAAGTTTGCGAGGGAAGACAAAGGTTCTGGAACTGTCAACCTGGAGACCCCGATTGATTGACCACCGAGACCTTCCCAAGAGATGTTGTCCTAGGAAGGCATGAGTTGCTTTTGTTACATTGACCCTAAACCCTAAACCCTGAACCCTAAACCCTAGACATTGCCATGACGCTTCGCTTGACTCCATTGGAATGCACCTACAACTTGGGACGACGTACTGATTGCGAACGTGCTTGTGACATGAAGAAACTGGAGCACGTTGAAATCACTTTCCTGCATCGCAAGGAGACCTCAATAATGCCTTGGGCCTGCTGGTCACAGTGCCTTTGGCAAGCAAAAAGGACAGTTCAGCTGGTTGGGCATGTCGCCTCTGGAGAAAACTAGAATGGCATCTTGCAGACTGCCGTGACTCCATGAGGCTGCTTAGTGGATGCTCGCAACAATGCTGGGCAAGCCCAAATTGCATGAGAGGCATGGTAGCAACCCCCTTGGTGGTGGTGGTGTCTCTCTTTTGTGTCTCTCTCTTTTGTGACTCTTTATTTCTCTCTCTCTCTCTCTCTCTCCCTGTGAGTCTGTCGCTCTCTCTCTCTCTCTCTCTCTTGCTGTGTTTCTTGCTCTCTCTTTCTCTCCCTCTCTCTTTGTGCCTCTCTGTCTATCTTTTTTTTCCTCTCTCTCTCTCTCTCGCTCTGTCTCTGAGTCTCTCTCTGTGTTTTGCTCTGTGTTTCTTTCTTCGTCTGTCTCTCTGTCGCTCTCTTTGTCGTCTTTCCGTGTGTCTCTCTGTGTCTGTCTCTCTCGCTCTCTTTCTCTCTCTCTCTCTCTCTCTTCCTGTGTGTCTTTCTGTGTGTGCCTATATCTCTCTCTCTCTCAGTCTCTTTCTCACTCTCTCTGTGTGTCTCTCTGTGTCTGTCTCTCTCGCTCTTTCTCTTTCTCTCTCTCTCTCTCTTCCTGTGTCTTTCTGTGTGTGTGCCTCTATCTCTCTCTCTCAGTCTCTTTCTCACTGTCTCTGTGTGTCTCTCGCTCTGTTTGTCCTCTTTCTGTGTGTCTCTCTGTGTCTGTCGCTCTCGCTCTCTCTCTCTCTCTCTCTCTCTCTCTTCCTGTGTGTCTTTCTGTGTGTGCCTATATCTCTATCTCTCTCAGTCTCTTTCTCACTCTCTCTGTGTGTCTCTCTCTCTGTGTCTCTCTCTCTGTGTCTCTCTCTGTGTGTCTTGTGTCTCTCTCTCTCTCTCTCTTCGTGTCTCCGTCTGTGTCTGCCTCTTTGTGTTTTTCTGTGTATCTCTGTGTCTCTCTGTGTCTCTCTGTGTCTCTCTGTGTCTCTCTGTGTCTCTCTGTGTCTCCCTGGTCTCTCTGTGTCTCTCTGTGTCTCTCTGTGTCTCTCTGTGTCTCTCTGTGTGTCTGCGTGTCTTTCCCTGTCTCTTTTTGTGTCTGTGTATCTGTGTGTCTGTGTCTGTGGGTATGTCAAGCGCCTGCGCCGAGCACGGCGCAGTTCATGCCAAGCGCCGTAAAGCTAGTGCTTGAGACAGCTCTCAAGCGGAAGGAGTATTCCCGGTGAAACCTTCATGGGACCAGCGCGCCTCTGCCCTCGGATTGGGGTTTGTCTTGACCCATAGCCGGCGCGCGGGAAAGCCAATCCACGCACAGCCCCATCCCCTCGCCAGCTTTTTCCCCCGCCACCTCGGATCGTTTTGGGCTTCGCTTCGATCGCATCGAGGCAGTGATGGTGCCATCGGTGGTGTACATGGCGCCTCGGCCAAGGTGGCCTCAACCCCTGATGTTCTTGCTGGGTCAAGGATTTATCCCTAAAAGCCTTTAATTCTAAGGAAACCCTAGACTCATGCACAAAACGCTGGTCATTCCCTAGTGAGCACCAGCCGGTTTTTTTCCGAAAGCATTGCAAAGGGTTCTTCCGGTAAAGTCGTTGCGTTCTGCACAGCTCGACTGCATAGGGAAAGTAGGCAGTGAAATGCATAGAGGCATGCATAGGGAAAGTGCACAGCGAAATGCACAGGGAAAGTAGACAGTGTGATGCATGGAGGCATGCGCAGGGAAAGTTGACAGTGAGGCACGCATAGGGCAAGCACAGAGTGAAGTGCATAGATGCATGCACAGGGAAAGGAGACAGTGAACTGCACAGAGGCATGCACAGAGTTTACAGTGAAGTGCATAGTTGGAAAAAATGGACCGATTCAGGCAGCGTGTCATGGAAAATGCTGCGGGCCCCCCGGCGTCTAGTTGGGTTTTCTTGGTCAGAGTAGATGGGGTCCACTGGTTTCGATGAGCTTTGCGCGGCCCGTTTACCGGGGAACCCCATGGGTTTTTCCAAAATGTCACCTATGGCTGAGAGCGCAGCGCAGCAAACGGCGGCACGGTTTAGCTACCCTGCCATCAAGGCCAACGGAAGAATCCAAAAGAGTTTAAGCAAGATGTTTGCAAATTTGCACAGTGGGTTGGCCCAATTAGTCTTCTGACCTCATATCGATATCTACAAGCTGTCTTAGCTCAACGCTTCTGTGCGCGCTTGTGGGACTTGGCAGTGTGTCGTCTTTGTGCCGTGCGCTGTTTTTGGCCGATTCCGACTAGGAGAATTGTCTATAGGTTGGCACTTCCCCTTGGCTCTGAGCAATTTTGATACGCACAGGCGGCACACTTGCCCTTTGATTCATCTGCAGTTGTTTCCAGCTCCAGTTCAGAGAAATGTTTGTTCCAAGCGCGGCAACACCAGAGCTGTACAAGCAAACCAAGGTTAACCACGGTTGTCTGAAACCTTTGCTCCTTGACTCTGGGCAACCTGGACAGGCACAAAAACTTTTGGTAACACATGTGAAGCTTTAGCCCATCATTTGGACAGCTTCTTTGCAGCTCTCCATTCGGGGTCTTTGGAATGACTGGGACCGGAAGGCCTTGGGAGCCTTGGGGTCAAGGCGACGCCGGAATCGAAAGTTGAGGTCACCAGTGTGTGTGTGTGTTTCTTCAGGGAATTTCCCCCCCTTAAAAAACAACAAGAACTGGGGATGCTCCTGTTGGTTTGCCTTGAAAAGCCACAACAAAGGGGTTACCCTCAGAAGAAGACGCACCCACCACTGCATTTCTGTTTTCAACAGCTTCTGTTTCATCACGTGGAATGTGCCACCGAAGGCACTTACAGAGGGTGCTGTCGCCGTGATGACGTTGAAGATGATCGATGTCTTCGTGTCCATTTTTCTGGCGGTGCAGGGACGCTTAGATCATCCCAGTGGATGGTTGAACTTGAAGTTCTCAGGTTGCAAAAATGGATTGCTTTGGTTCTCGGCAAAGCACTAGGCTAGGAGGTCCGGCATGGTGAACTTCAGTCTATCGGCGTGTGTATTTAAAAATAGAAACGTGCACTTGCGACATATAAACTTAATGCAGCATGATGAACCTTGTCCCCCTTCAAGGAATTATGGTTTCAAGGATGCTATGAGTATTTGACACCTTGCCAGTTGAATCGAGGGCGCCGAGCTGAAAGATTGTGCCAGGTGCATTGGTTTTCCTCTTGCTTCTGGCGGAATGTGTAGTCGGATGCTCGCGCAAAACGTGGTGCGCTCGTGAAACTTGTACTTCTGACCTTGGGACATTGACAAAAGTTGCATCAATTAAGATGAACCAAAACTCGGCTCTCAAGCTGATACTTGCTTCGGCTGGAGCGCTGCGACGGCTATATGAGGGCCCACTGCTGAGGTCTGCCGCATACCTGGACGTCCAATTTCAATTTGTTTCTAGAACCAAACGAGTCGAGCGAATATATGCGCATTTGACGTGATTGACGTGATTGACGTGATTGACGTGATTGACGTGATTGACGTGATTGACGTGGCGTAGTTCAGCAAACGCGGTAAAACTCAAGATCATGTCTGGCATCCTTGGTCTGTTGCCAGGCTGATGTCTTTTGCGGGTCTGCTTGTGGTGAGCATCACATGGAGGTTGGTTGTTGCTATGCTACATGTCATGGCTTAATTGCGACCCTCCACACACTCCATTGAATCCGCAATGCATAATATACAGCATCTTTCCGGACTCGATCAAGAACGTTGTTCAGCATTAGGATTCTTCTGTTTTATCGACCACATGATTTGCCATGGCGACTCATTTGGCCATGGTTGCTCCGTGCATTTCGGTTCTGGCGCGGGCCTTTTCGCACCCCCGGGGCGCGCCGAGGCTTTGGTACAGCGTTTGGGCCCAGGCCCTTGACACCTTTGGGGTGCTAGCGCGGAGGCCAAGGCTTTGGACACTGTTTTACATTCCCAGTTGCCCAGAGGTGCCCTTCTTTCAACTTGTTTGTGGGTTCCCATGGTTCCCCTTTAAATTCAACTAACAAGAAAAGGATGCCCTGTTTTTTCCATGGCCATTGGGCATCTGAGCATTAGAAGAACACGCCAGAAGCTCTTACAAACCCGGCGCAACTGCGATGTCCAAGTTCTGGTTGTATTCATGTCAGTAAATGCCACGGAGAATCTGGTGGATCAAGATGAGCAGTGGTTCACACCCCTGCTCAATATCAGATGAGAACGCGCACGTCTATGAACACCTTCTGCTTGCACCTAGCACACACTTGAAACATGATGATACGCTTGCTTGCAGAAACCCTTTTTTCACTGCGCCCATCCCTCCCAAAACGTTCACAGAGACATTGTTTCTTTGCCAACATGATGCTACACATGTTGACAGCAAGTGTGTGTTCAGTCTAAATCCTCGCTTCGCTGACTTGAGACGTTGGTTTGAGCGGCTCTGCTGCGAAACGCACCACGCGTGTCAACCAATCCGAACGCTGTCCGGTCCGTGATAATGTTTTCTTGGCTAGCAACTGGCCCAATCTGGCTGGACGGTGCTTTGGTTCCGTTCAATCCTCGGGTTTTGCCAATGGCACAAATGGACTCCCCAGTTGAGATGTGTACTGTTCGATGGGCCTTTACTATCAATATTGGTTTGGCGTGTCAGAGTGAATTTCTCCAGTCATTCATTTCATGAAACAGATGGCGCATACCAGCATCATCCAGCATCAATCCGGTTCACAATGGTCAGGGCTAGGGCTGTGGCGGGGAAGGGGAGTGGGCAGGGATAAGATGCCAGAGGAGGGTTGCAGGGTGGTGGGCACGGTATTGTACTTTTTTGGGGGGATTGGATGAACAGATGTGAAGCGATTGCACAGCGTGTCTTCATGTCCTGAAGCTGATGGTTTTTCCACTTTGCACTTTGCTTTCTTCCTTACTCTTCTTGCCGCTCTATGCTTCCGGTCCCCTGTCCCCTCTTTTGTGTTGTGCTTGTCTCCCTGTCTCTTTTGTGCCTTTGAGCTTTGGAGCCAATGCCACTTAATCTGGCCTACTCACTAGGGGCGCCATGAGTCCTGGTGCCCGGGCCATTGATGTCCGCGTGCACTTTTGCCGTAGCAAACGCGTCAGGGTTTTTTTGAGCGTCAAGCCCCGTGTTCCATCATGAAGCTTGCAACGTCAGACGACTCTTTTTGCACTCCGAAGCGAGGAAGCTCAATGACACGATCATACTTGACTGCTATTGGGTTGGATCTTTAGACTAACTTTTTGGGACCCACAAAATGTTAAACCCTTTGCAGAGGGGTCAACGGCAAGCAAGCATACAAGTATAGACACGTCACGTGCTGCTGGTTGTTTTGGTTCTTGAGTCAAAGTCATTTTTCCTCAGCTTCCCTCTACTGTAATGGGTTTGGATTGGTGATTTGGATTTGGATCACCTGTTGAAACCAGATGCAGCACCAAACCAAGCCACCAATTAGGGGTAAGCTGATGTTTCCAGTTGCACTTCCCCCTGTACAATTGGCCCTGCGATCATGCTCTCTCTCTCTCTCTCTCTCTCATCCTCACATGTATCCCTTTCTGCGAGCTTCAGATGTTCAACCGCTTCAACTCATGTGCGCACACCTTCTATTATCCTTTTCATTGTGTAGCTTTACTCCACCATCTTTCAACTGTTTTCAACCACTTTGACCTGCGTCCCGTGCGCGTGTTCACTCAGGAGGCATCCGAGAAATAACACAGCAAGAACCCATAGGCATCGGACCCGTTGCTCGGTGTTTAGTTTGGATTTCCATTTAACCCACCTGGGTCCCCCAGTCCCCTTCTCTCCCCGTGCTTGGGGGAGGGTTCCCCTACTAAAATAGCCCACAGAAAAAAGGGCACCCTTGTTCTAACCTCTCTACTGGAGGTCCTGGCCACTCAAAGTTTTCAACCTTTTGCGGCGGGGATCTGAGCCCAGGCTGGATGTGTTGGGAGCCATTGAAAGGGTTTCAAGACGTATGTCTCGCTGAGGACAACGGCTGTGCAATCGTCAACACGATCATGTCTGTTATCGCCGCCGGGATCCTGGCGAGAGGGCAGAGCATGGATGGTCTTCAAGGTCATTGGTATTAGCTGAAAAGAGGCAATCATGCATGACATGTTGTTTCAATACTTGTTCTTTTGAAGCTTGCCATGGCACATTGTGAAGTTCCTTTGCTTTGCCTCTTCAAGCTTGGATTCATCAACTCTGCGTACAAGTTGCTGAGGTTGCAGTGGTTTCTTCCTTTGGTCCCTAGGTCGACCGCCGCCAATATTCAATAGATTTCCCTAGACCCAGGGCTTGTTCCCTCGGCGCTTCCCAATTTGCAGTCTCATTGAGTTTGTGGTTTTTGAGCTTTCTGTTGCGCAAATCTCTCGGTCACTACCCAATGTCAGGGACATAACGACCTGGCCGAGCAAAGGAGAACACAACTGGGGATACAAAATGCGGAGTCAGATTTTTGAGTCGTGGGCTAGCCTGTGATTCAGTACTGATTCTGGTGTTCTGTAGTTTTCGCGCAGCATCCATTTGGTGTGTGTGTGTGTGTGTTGTTTTTTTTCATGACGGGAGTTGCATTGGTCAAGTACCCGTACGACCGGGTCTTCGTGTTTGTAGTATTCAGCACGACTTGGTTTAGAATTTGGCTTTCTTGACAGGTCCGTTCCGCAGCAAAAAGCAAGTAATGTTGCATGTTGTTGCATGCTTTGGGAAGAGTGTGCAAGAAGACTAGCCAACCAACGACTGGATACAAGAACCAGTGGTTGATGTCTTCTTGTCACACACCCAGTGGTAGAGCAGCACCGTAACGCAAGGATGCAAGCTTCAAGGAGGGAGCAAGGCGACAGCTCAACTGATGTAAATGTAGGAATAAACAAGGGCAACTTGTCTGTGTTTGAATCCAGGGGCATGTCGCTTCAACTCATGCCAAACACACACAGACACGAGTTGCCTACTTTTTGTGGAGGGTGAGCACTGCTTCTTAGAATGTTCACTCACACTTTACTTGCGTGTTTGACATTTCAACAACTGAGTTGCTACAAGACTCGCCCTGAGTTTGGGTTCTCTGGGAACTCAAGGGAGACGTTGCACACAAACAAAGCGTACGATTCCGCTCAAGGTGGTCTTTCTCTATGCGGCGCCTCAATTGCAGCAAGGACAAGGAAAGAGTGCTAGCTCAAAGGGCATCCATTTTGGGGTATGTGCACCACCCATTTTAGTCTATTTTAGTGGGGATTGGGATGTTCACTGGGGGTAGGGTTTTGATCCATGGCCATGTAGCCGCAGAGGGCGCTTTTGCTTGCATTTGTTGTGAAGTCTTATTGAATCTGCATTAAGGCCAAGTTCTCAATGCGGGTCAATGCATCACCCGCTCAGTGCAGTGTGTCCATGGTCAAACCGACCTTGGAGCTCTTCCTGGCGGGGCCAAGGTTTTATCTCGTTTGGTCTCCCGATAGCATGCTTACTGGGGAGTGCTGTTGACGCTATTCAGGCTGCCAGGAGACAAGCGCATGTTTGGTTCAATCGAGTTTTCAACGCTCAAGGCTCAACACTGATGACAGCTTAGAGCTCGATGTTACCTTCTGAAGCTTGAGCGAGCGAAACATGATGGTTTGGTTCCTGGAAAATCAGCGAGAACCTTTGAATAACTATCGCGTGTTTGGCTGGACGGTATTTTTATAGTGGACCAAGTCCAGAGAAACCACGAGGTCGGAACATTCATTCTGGGCAAATCAAGGCGAGCTTATTTCAAAATAACACCTGCTCATCCATGAAGGTCCCGCCCAAAATAGTCGCTTCCCGCTAGCAATGAATACCTCGCCCCTGTAAATGTATTCGCCTGGGGGCCGAGCAATATTTATAGGGTCCATTTTTGCGCCAGGGAAATTCCGCTGTCCTCATCCAAAAGGGGTCCCCTCTTTCCGGGCGGAAAAAAATGGCTCACAATGGCAATTGCCGAGTAATTCAACTAGCAGAGATCTAAGTCATTTCTTGGATTTGCGCTGCTTTGGCTGGTTTAGCATCGGTTTTGTATGGTTCTACAATATCCCCTAGTAAGACTGAAGTTGAGGTCCGCGGGAGATTTGCTACTCTTTTAGAGTTGGTGTAGTAGTTGTTTCTAAGTTAGTATTGGGAGAGTTGGGGTCTGGGAAAACACAAATATTTATCAATAGGGTGCAGTTGTTGCTAGGGAAGGTATTATTGATCCGAGAGGTTTGCAGTGTGCTTTGACCATTTGCAGCTGTACTCAGTGCTCTTTGCCAACTTACGGTCACTCTGACATGGCGACAGCAATTCACGGTGAGCCTTGGTGGATTCTGTAGCACGGTAGGAGCTAGTTGTTTTGTTTGGTCGCTGACGTCCAGTCAAACATGGCAGGCACCAACTCAGACCATGTTTTGTGGAGCTAGGTGCCCTTTACTTGGGCCAGCCACAAGTGTTTTCTTGGTACTACTTGATACGTGATGGTGGAGTTGAGTTGTTTGCCTTTCACTTGCGCTCAGCTCTCTACAAAGTTTTCTTCAACTCACCCTTGACTTTATGCGGCCAAGGAAGTTCCTCAAACAGAAGTGCACCACGAAAAGGGATCATCATTTTTGAGCAGTTTCAAGGGTCGGCGGCAGCCAGAGAGAGCGACGCGCTATCTCGACATCTCAGGCTGCCAACCGAATCGCGCAGCTTGGCAATGTGTTTGTTTTACTTGCTACTGAGCGCACACATCACATTGGGGCGGAGAACCAAGGAAGGATAAGTCAAAGCACGCGTTGAAAGACATGGTTTGGCGGTTTGTGTATTGGGACTACTGCGAGAGATCCTTGGTCAAAAAATGATCTTGTTTGCTTTCAACAGCGTTTGGAATGGAGCAGCACCCCGTTCCAAGTGCACAATACTTCATGCCTGCTTGACGAGTGCGCCAGCTTGCAATTGCATGTATTGTGTGCGCAATATGAGTCAAGGCTGTCTTTTTTGATCACTTGCGATCTGGAAAAGACTCTCTCACTCTCTCCCTTCGAGCTGCCTTGTGAAGCATCCTCGAGCAAGCCTTGTGGAGTCCATCGAGCTGGAGGTCGGAGGCCACGACTTTGGGCGTGCAGACGCCGGCGGGGAAGACGCGGCGCAGTGGGCGAGGTCGGGCTGTGAGGCGATCGCTTCCCGATGACAACGGCCATCTGCGATGCGGGGGGGGGGGGGAGTTTCTCGGAGATGGCCATGACGACCTGGTAGGCATCGCGAGTCGGGATGCTGCCCCGGAAAGATTCAGCAGACAGAGAACGAATTACCTTAACACCAGGAAGCCGGGTAGGGAGGGAGAAAGGGAGAGAGGGAGGGAGGAAGGGAGGGAGAGGGAAAGAGGGACGGAGGGAGGGAGGGAGGGAGGGAGGGAGGGAGGGAGGGAGGGAGGGAGGGAGGGAGGGAGGGAGGGAGGGAGGAAGACAGAGCCAGCAGACAGAGGCAGAGAGAGAGTGAGAGACAGACAGAGAGAGAGAGAGACAGACAAAAAGAAAGACAGACAGACAGACAGACAGACAGACAGACAGACAGACAGACAGACAGGCAGACAGACAGACAGACAGACAGACAGACCGCACGCGCATTAGCACGTGCACACACAAACACACAAACACACAATCACACAAACGCACAAACGCACAAGCACACAATCACACCAACACACAAACACACAAACACACAAACACACAGCACACAAACACACAAACACACAAACACACACACAAGCACACAAGCACACAAACCCACAAATCCACAAATCCACAAACCCACAAACCCACAAACCCACAAACCCACAAACCTACAAACCCTACAAAGACACAAAGACACCAAGACACGACCACACAAACACACAACCACGCAACCACGCAAAAACAAAAACACAAAACACACATGTTCTTCCAACACACAAACACACAAACACGCAACCACGCAACCACACAAAAAACACAAACACACAAACACGCAGACACACAAACACAAACACACAAACACACAAACACACAAACACACAAACACACAGACACACAGACACACAGACACACAGACACACAGACACACAGACACACGGACAAACAGACACACACGCGCACACACACACACACACGCGCGCGCGCACGCACACGCACACGCAAACACATGCAGACACATGCAGACACATACACGCACGCGCCCACGCATACATACATGCGTCCGTGCACACACACACACACACATGCAAACACCAAAGACGTGCGCGTATGTACGTGTAAATGCATGCACGCACTTATGCACACCTACGCGCACACACACACACATAGCTGCACTCACGCAGGCATACACACACATACATAGATCGTGCATTCATACACAGACACAGACACAGACACAGACACAGAGACACTCACACACACACACACACACACACACACACACACACACACACACACACACACACACACACACGCACACACACACATACACACACACACACATACACACATACATACACACACACATACACATTCAATATATGCACGGTACCCCCCCCCCCCCCCAACACGCAACAAAAACACGCCCCAAGAGAATTTGACGGTATTTGCAGTACTTGTGGGTGATGTCCTCTCCCTTTTTAGGCACCCCAATTTTCACCCCAATCTTGACCATCTGACTCTTCATCTGCACATTTGACTGTACCTCTATCCACCTCAAATGCTTTAAAGCGCTTAAAGCACTTTTGGATTCAAGATTCAAGATTCCCAGGACTCTAGATCTGGAATCCTGAATCCAACCTGGGGCCCCTAAAACCTTGAATATTGAAAAACACTGTAAATACCAGTGTGGTGCATGCGTATTGGTAGGTTTTGTGCATCGCAGATTTTGTTGAGGAAGTTAGTTGTTTCGGCAGACCGCATGGCATTAATGTAAGATGTGAGCAGATGTAATTGTTTGTATTGGCCAAGGTTTGTGAGCTGATTGACGAATGGAACTTGCAGATGAGTTGAAATGAGAGATGGAAGATGCGTAGCAGGTAGTGGCACAGTTGTGTAAGTTGCCAGACGAAAAGGATCTGCACATCAGTTGAGATGAGAAATCGAAGGTGCGTTGGCGAAGCAGAAGAGGCATTGTTTGCTGTATTGTTGACACCCTTGCGGAGGAACTCTCAGAGAGATGTGTTACAGTCAATTGAACGAGGATAACAATAATGAAGACTTTAAACGGGCAAAACTGATATGGACACATGTTCACTGTAAAAAGCATGAGAGAACAATACGACATCTGTTGAAATAAGTTTATATAGTTTATGACAAGAAGATGTATGATTGAACAAGAATCTAAAGGAGGAAAACCCACAATTATGTTTCAGAAAGTAGAAGCAAGTAATATTCAACTAGGTGGCAAAGGCTTAGTGAATCATTTGCCAACATTGTAAAATGAGCCCACTTCTAATAACATCCATCTAAAATGACCCCATTTCCCTTACAAAAGCAGCAGGTGCGTGTGTGTGTGTGTGTGTGTGTGTGTGGGTGTGTGGGTGTGTGTGTGTGTATGTGTTTGTCTTTTCTGTTTTGCGGGGGGGATGCATACATAATATATATATATATACATACAAATACATACACATTCATACACATACACAAACATACATGCACAAGTAAATAACATACATATATGATATGTATATATATATACTCACATACACATACACATACATACATGGGCGCACGCATAGACACATACACACATACATACATACATACATACATACATACATACATACGTACATACGTACATACGTACATACGTACATACGTACATACGTACATACGTACATACGTACATACGTACATACGTACATACGTACATCCATACATCCATACATCCATACATCCATACATCCATACATCCATACATCCATACATCCATACATCCATACATCCATCCATCCATGCATCCATGCATCCATGCATCCATGCATCCATGCATCCATGCATCCATGCATCCATGCATCCATGCATACATGCATACATGCATGCATGCATGCATGCATGCATGCATACATGCATGCAAGCATGCATGCATGCATGCATGCATGCATACATACATACATCGTACGTCTACATATGTCATGCGTCTGCAGGGGTGCATATTCATAAACAGTTACATGCAGGTATACATATGCACATACAGTATTGCGCGTGTACCTTCATTTGTGCGTATCACATGCGTGCGTACATGCACATGGGCATATACACACATCTGCCAACATACTTGCATGCATACATACCCGATGCTTCCCGAGGTTCATTTGTAGCCTGTCGCAGGACGTAGCTGACTGTCAACACTAAAGGGAAGTAATAACAAGCACATGCTACATTCAGCCAGAGCCTTCAAGTGGGAAAGCAAGTCCCGCTTCAACTCTAAGGTTCTATCTGCGGGGCACGAAGACTCCCTTGATCACCTTTGGCTCTTGCGTGACTCGGACGATGCACATATCACTGGAAGAAGGCTTGCTGTGGCTGCGCCTCTTGAAAGGTGTACTTGATTTCCGCAACGGTGGTCCCATTAATCTAAACCAAAAGCAGCTGGCAAGCCTGCCAAATCGATGGAAAACCAGTTTTTTTACACCCCACTGAACCTTCAACACGGGCTTTTGCTCTGGCAACAGAGGCTTCGCCAGCGGTGACAAGCCTGGCATTGCGGATGATAAGGAGGTCACTGGCTTCAACTTGTTTGCAATAGTTCATCGAATTACTGCGTAATCATTAGTAGTTACCCTTCGGATGCAGGGTAGACTCACAAACAAGGCAAACCTTGTGACAAAATGAACAAATGGCCTGCTCAGAGTTTTATTTGTTTGCCTTTTTCGGCTTTTGACCAGGGAGTGGCCGGCCCGATGGTATTTCAGTGGTTTACTTGAGCCTTCTTGGTCCAGTCGCAACCTTTATGAGACTATGGCATGTTTGGGGGCCAATGTTGGAAGCCAAGTGACTTTGTTGCTCCCAGCGATCCGATTCCTTATTGTTTATTTTTTTATTTTTCTGGGGGGGAGGGATAGTTTCAATTTAACCCGCAAACAGTTCAACTTTACGCAGGGGATCTGAGGGCAGGTAAATGATGCCCGTCAAAAGCTTCCCCAATTCAATTTCACCGGGTCCCCGCGTCCATTCGAGAACTGCTCGAGACCTCCAAGCCATCAAGCTGACCTTAGAGCGGAATATTCGACGCCCAAAGATGGAGTCTTCCTAGGTCTCCCAGTGCCCTTTCTCACCCCTTGTTGGGGGGAGGGCTCCCCTACTAAAATAGACTACAGAAAAAATGGTACCTTTTTTCTATCCTCTCGACTTGAGGACCTATGTAGTCATGTTTGAACATTGTCAACATCAAACTCTGTAGAGCGCTGTAAAACACGGCGGTTGTCTCGGGGAGTTTTACCTATTTGGCCAAAGGGGGTGTAATGACGTGTGAGTCAAGCCTGCCTTTTGAACCGCGGATGTCGCTTGCGACTGGTACTTTGCTCCAGCGCCGGGTCAGAAGCATGCACTTGGTATTCTGTAAGGTTTTGCTCCTCTCTCTTTGATTTGCAGAGTGTGTATCACGTTTGGGGACAGATTCTGGAGACGCTCAGACTTGAGGTGTGTGTGTGTGGCAGTTCAGTTGCTTGAAAGGGTCCAATCATAGAGCACGTATCAGAATGTCTTCAAAGACCGTGCACAAAAGGAGGGTGAAGCCACACCGAGGCTGTGTTTTCACGTTTGGCATGTCGTGTGACTTCGTAGATGCGGACTATATTGGACAAATCTTTCACAGTTCATGTTCTTTTGCCTGAGGCAAATCGCACCCGACTTGGGTTTCGCGGCCTCCTCCAGGCATCCTTTACTCTGGCCAGGGAGTGCTGGGAGTCTGGCCAACAGCGTAAGCCCCATCCTTCGGCCCGCGTGACATGCTGAGGCAGGCCACTTCATAGCGTTCGCAGGCATCGGCATGTGCAACATGGCGCAGTTCCAGCTCAGCAAATAGTGCCTTGCCAGATGCGTATGTGTCCAAACTACCTTCATGCACGAAAACGAGCATGAGAGGGGTTCGGCTATTGATTTACCACTTTGGCTAGCGGATGCGTTGCTTTTCATGCACAGCTGAGGGGGTCACTGGCTCAATACTTGGAGCACCGGCACTGTATCCGATGCCGTGAAATGTATCCACGGGGTTGAGTGTTTGCAGCTATGCATGCAGGAGCGATGGACAGTCATCCTTGCGAAATCCCAAATGTTATTGAGCAAATGCAATGTCAATTGACAGG